TAAGCTAGAAATCGTCATTCCAGTCGCCCTTTCTCTCAGAATGATCTTTTTCTACAAAAATGTATTAACTTGTGAGTTGCAAGTCAGTTAGCGCGGATTTCAGCACCCAGGGTCACAGAAACTCCGACGTCTTGTGAACATGCCTTTAAACACATACTCCGAACCAAGGCGCATCCGGTATTTATTTCATTCAGTTGTCATCATTCGGATAAATGGGTCTTGATAAAAGTTTTTATATCCTGCGTAGAACTAACAGATATAAGGACTACCGCAGCTATCCTCTTGTTACATCTCCCGTGCAGGTAATTTTCTATGTGAGGACAAACCTACACCCTGCTACAGTACTGCAAGCTAGCTTTATCGCCCCATACCGATCGAATGTCTGCATAGGCTGCATATATATGGTTTTATATGAAAAAACATTTAAAACTCACCAACTTCAATCGTTCGTTGATTGTAAAATTACAGAAGGGACTATTTTATCCGTCAAAGCCTGTAAACAGTCGTACCTTTAATCCTTTTAGGTAGCTCCAACATTCCCAGCGCAAGAGTCATCGAGATGTCTTTTTATTTCTTTCTGTAGCACCTACAGTTAGATATCACCAGTCTCTTTCAGTAAATGCCAAAACAAGCTAGAATAAGCTACCCAGTAATATCAAAATTCAGCAAAACTATCCTTTTTTTATTATTAGTCTTCTACATTCAGAACACCTTTCAAGAATTTTCGTGGCGCAACCGGTAGTATTTCTACTCCGCTCTGAGGGCGTTCGCAGATTCTGAACTCTGTGCCATGCTTTATGCTAAAGCCAATACGGTTGAGTTTGCAGCCCGCAATCGGCTAAATCTTCAACCGACAACGAGCAACCGGTCGCCAGTTCATCCTTATCTGGTGCGGAATACCGGACCTATAACACCGAAGGGAGGCTGACCAAACCCTGCACCTGTGCCACCCCTTCCCCGTCCCGAACTTCAATAACTCAACTTGCTGCTTTTTAACCTGAAAAACGTTAGAGAGTCTGATCAGGAGTTTTTTTCACTTTCGGCTCCATTCTTTACTGTATACTCCTTTTTACCTTGCCTGTAAACTGGCAATCAATGATTAAACTAATTATGCCACTCGTAATTCTTCCATGCTCATATCACCGACCCTTAGATCCATATCTAACTGTTTCCGTTTTTGACTCAAAATATGTTTTCATCTGGGAGAATCTACCGCTCGAAATTCGATTGTCGTCTACCTTAGCTGTTTTCAAGGCCCAATGACGTAAAAATTTTACTTCTGAGGAAATAAAGTCCCAACCAAGCAACTGTTACATTAAAAAAGGTACTAGGGATGTTTCAGGCGGTTGTTTTCATAATATGCTTACATTATTCTCTGCAGACTCAATCTTCATAGCCTTTTTTCGTCCCCTTCTCTTTTCAACCACCATTTTCAAATGTTGACAATCTTGCTTTGATTTGCAATCCGGATGATGGTTTTGGCGGTCCCTGTTGATGCTATTGGCGGGTTCTTCTGTTTTCCCTACCTTGTCGATGGATTCTGCAGTCCACTAGGTCAAATCTCCGGTGACGATCTCGTGACATTTACTGTTCCCTATTCTTTTCGACCCTAACGTCAGCAATGGGCTCCTCCTGTCTCACCTTCTTGACAGTTGATCCTGTAGTCAGTCGGACGCTGATGTTGTGGCGAACAGTAGACCTGACTGTTATATCATCTCTTCCGTGACAAGGAACCTTCCGGCCCCTCACATATTCTCATCAACGTCACGGACTTACCTCACTGTATCATATAAATCTTATAAATCTACTAATTAATTTACTAGCGATCGAAGAAGTCTTCATTCCTTCATTTTTTGTGTGGGGGCTTGCTGAACCCTGTTCCATAATTCCTTGTTAATTTTTTCAATGCTTCTTTCTCTGTTCATCATATTTCCCAAAATTGTCGACTGTTGTTTTAAAAAGCCTAATCTTTGGCGCATATGATATACTCTACATACCATACTATTCATTTCGGATATTTATATGGTTACTCACATAGATCAGCAATTGTCCATATTGCATGTATTGTACCACAGCACTACGTTTGGTACGACGGGGCCCCCTGGGCCTATAGTATAAAATTTATTCATTTATTTATTTAGAATATGCAAGGTCATCCTGACAGTCTATGAAGAGACATAGACATTTTAATAATGTATGTTCGTTTTATCTACACTTTCCACTGCATGTGTTGCCTCCACGGGATATGATATAGCTTTCATCCCAATAGATTGCCCTCGTTTGCTCAAGGCAGATCTTCTGACCATGCTCACGACGAAGGGGTAAGCAGCGTCACCAATAAATAGGGCTGCTTAATCATTTTGTGCTGCCAATTATGTTTTTGTTTTACTAAAAGACAAGGATTATGATTGATGATCTATAGACTCACCATTTTTCATTGTATAGAAGGAAAGATGCTAGATGGAGGCTGTGGTAGGGACTATAAGATAGAGTAATGGATTCGTAGATCCAAATCCTTTTTCATAACTGGTTCAGCCCCCAGTTAAAGTGCCTAACCAAGTTTAGGCGCCAGCTAGAAATACAGAAGGAAGATGAGAATAGATAAAGATCGACTTTAGAAAAACTGTGCACCAAACATCAGAAAAGAGACCTCTCAGTCTTAAGCGGTACGCAACTAGCTGAGAGCTACAGTTCAAACTTCGAAAACGACGGCGTCCACTGTGGGCCCGACTGCGTGACCACAGCACCACTGACTGTCGCGGTAATTAGGTTCTAATACAAAAAAATTGCTCACCATCTCTCGCATTTTATCTTATAGTATTCACCTTACTTAAATGACAGGACAAGACGACAAGGTCGG